ATATATATATATATATATATATATATATATATATATATATATATATAACAGTGCGAATTATATAAGATGTGAGAACTTTTTCAAGAAAATCACATTTTGTTGTACAAAGAATTATTTATTTGAAAACAGAATGTTACAATATTAAAACTGCGAGCAAAGAATTAGAATAATCTTTAGTTTAAAGGCCTTTTGGATAATGACAAATGCAAAATGATAAAAGGGCATAAAGAGTAAATAAATTATTCCAAAGAAAAAGGAAAACATTACATTTTTTACGCCCAAATTAAGAAAAATGTATGCATGAAATTATATTGGTACAAAAATGCAAATCCATGAGGTACATGCTTGGACTTCTGATTCCATTAACTGATCTAATTAGAACCAATAAATGATTTACATACAAAAGGAATGAGATGGGAGATTCATGTTTATGATATGCTTATGAATTTAATTTGTACTATAACATAGTATCCAATTCGTATCTCAACGGATTTTATAATATACAGTACATGAAAAACTATGTGTCGCAATATACAAACAAGCGTGGATGCCACCTTTAAGATAACGTGTTACAAAATATCATATGATATCCATATATATATATATATATATATTCTTTTGTATATATTTTCACAAATTCATGGGTTGTTTCATAGAATCTCTATATCACTACAATCATATATATTATAAATATATCGACTTGGAACCCATTTATGTTTTCTCTTGAATATATATATATATATATATATATATATACACACACACACACACATACACACACATTTCAATTAAACTAAAAATCCAACGTAAATGAAACCATCGTATCGTACGCACCACATTAATTCGCATGCCAAAAAATCACAAGTGCAGTCATGAATGATCTTTGTAATTCATGTATCATATGTGGCGCGCATGCATGGACACATCATCGACGAAAGCAACGACAAGGGAAAAATGACAAAATAAAAAACGTAAAATAAAGAAATTACCTATATGACAACACCCACTATAAAATGCGAAAAAGGAAAAACAGAAGACGAAATATAATAAAGGATAATCGACCATCTACACCATCATCATCATCATCATCATGATTCATGAGCGTCATCAATGATCAAGTATATATCCTCATATCGTTCACAATCTTGTAAACATCATCCACGTCATCCCCGTCATCGTCATCGTCGTTCTCCTGTAAGCACCGCTCGTTATCCTCCCGGATGCTGGAATCGCCGCCGCAAGGAGCGTGGCCACCGCCTCCGCTGACGTCAGCATGGGCCCTGACGAAGAAGGCGAACAGAAGGAGCGTGAAGAGACAGCCGACGAGAAACCCTCTTGATGCAGCCATAGTATAGTTGCTGTCTGAACCAGAAGCTTATCTTTTTGGATAGTGGTTTTTGGTCTGATTGCTTTATATAAGAAATGGGCTTTACTATTAATGGTATGAAAGAGCTTGTCTTTTGAGCTGGTCTCATGGCAAAGTAATTGCTGAACACTCTAATTAATTAATTAATTTCTCTCATTTTTTTCCACCATATGTTTTTCCACGTCAATTTTCTCCATTTAATTTTGATTATAAGTATATGTTAATGGCCACCATGTGGTTAGGCATTTAATGAATAAATAATAAACTAATCACTCACAGTAAATAAATCCATGGAAATAAGTTACTCCAGAAAACACAGAAAGATCAATTAACTTTAATTACAGTTTACACGCCCAGCCTTTAATTTCACCTACATTAACTTTATTTTAAAAAAATAAATAATAAGATTAATTTTTCTTATAATGATATATTAAGATTGAAGCGATAATTTAATTTCATATGTAGTTGGGCCCATTGGATCTCATAAGCCCAATAAATGAAATCAGCCCAATTTATAGCTAAAATCTTTCAACGTATGTATTTACCTCCTCCCGCGCACGTTAGCATCTCCTGCCGTGCAATTTCTGTCTTGTTTGTCGGCGAAAACCTCCTGCGACACCGAGACCGACACCGACGGCGACTACTACCGTCCGATCATGCCGGAAATAGATGCTTTGTTCGAAGCGATCAATGTTAAAGACCTTCTTTCCGGTCATGACCTCAACGATCCGACCACGCCGTTGTCGGCGCCAGATCTCCGCCTCCTCATCACCCGCTTGGAGTCGCATTCCCTTCGGATCAAATCCAAGGTCCAGTCCTATCTCGTCGCGCATCAGTCCGGATTCTCGGAGCTTTTCTCGCTCTGTAAAGACGCCGCCTCGAGTGCCGGTCAGATCACTGGCGACGTCTCTGATGTTCTACAGTTGATTTCTGACCGCCCGATCGACGTTGAGATTCGTACTGTAGTTGACGAGATTACCACGAAGACGAAGGAGGTGAAGGTGAAGAGAGAGTTGCTTGAGTTGGTTGCGGTAATTGTGGGTATCTGCGAGGCGTTACAGGAAGTGAAGGAAGGGTTGAAGAGTGGACGTTTCAGATTCGCCGCTGAGAGAATCAGAGAATTGAAAGCCGTATTGAGGATCGGCGACGAAGAAGAAGGAGAACCCGTTGCCTACAATCTGCTTAGAAAGGAATGGATTGACTGCTATGATAAGGTATGTTCTATTTCAAGCACGGAACTTTTTCTCCGTTGTTGGTTACTGAGAAAACAGGAAACAGTATTTTGTCTTTTTCTTTCTACAAGTGAAAGCCGATCGTAGTTCAGATGAAATTGCTGTTTAGGTGCGTGTTTACCTTTGTATTCGACGTTGAATAGGCATCTGAATCCTCCTTGGTATCATCAGAGACCTCAGATTAGTGGAAATGTGATTTCTTCCTTCCAAAGGAGAAGGAACTAGTTCAAATGTGTGTGTTTTTTAGTTCTGAGTTCATGTTGAGTTTTTCAAAGGAGGGTTTTACCCCCTCTCCTCGTATCTCCTCTTGCTGATTTGTTGCTAGAAATTGAGTTTTTACCAGAAGTGAGGTCGTTTTACTTTGGACTGGATTTTAGAGCAATCGTCTTCTTGTTTGTAGATTCAAGAGGTGCTAGCCAAGCTCATGGAAAATGCTGTGCATTTTGAGCCGGATTCTCATAGAGTCCGGATTCAGTATCGACTAAGCATGGGCGAGACCACCAGGATTGCTCTTAATGATGTTTTCGAGGCAATGGAGGTCAACTTTCTTCTTCGTCTGAGATTTTGAGTACCAAAAACTTTGTAAAAAATCTGCTTTGATTTTGGGCAAGCATTAATCTCGATCAATATCATAGCAATGGCAGTAGCGTTTTCTCTGCGAGCTATCATTTTTACACATTTGAGTCATTGAATTTGTCAATTACCTCTTGAAAGTAGTTTTGAAGCTTGATAGCTGGACCGGTGTTTTACGATTTGGTGTGCTAATCTGAGTTCTCTAGGTGATCGAAATCTTAGACTATGGACTTGCAAAAGTAGCTGACTCAATGATCAAGCATGTCATCACTCCAACTGTAACTCGTGCATCTACCTTTATTCCTGTGGAAGATTTATGTAAAAGCTCGGGGGAAATTACTGAGGCGACATTGGAGCTAAAGCAATCCTCAGGCCACAAGGTAATGAGTTGTTTTTTAGCATTCATAGTTCCTGCATATTTACAAGGTACTTAGATTTCCTATGATGACCTATAAATTATGTGCTGTGCATATTTTCCGTGGTTCTTGTTTTGAGATTAAGATGAGCACCCCCTTGTATTCAGATTGAAGGTGTGGATGGAGAAGCTATCTATTCCGGGATCCTTAAGGTTGTTAAGTTCATTAACAGTTCCCTGTGCTTGGGAAATGTTACATGGATCCATTGCTTTGGGAGGCTGACATGGCCACGGATATCAGAGCTAATCATTTCCAATTTCCTTTCAAAGGTTTGTTTTATGTAGGGCTGCTCTCAACTTATTTTGATATTCCTTTCGAAAATCTTGATGCATGGTCAACATATACGCATATGTATTTATTCATATCCTAACAAATACAGGCGAAATTATATACATTAACTTTGTTTTGTACCGGGTTTAACTTCTACTGTATTGAAGCGAGTCTTTGGTATGTTTGTCAGCTAAAGTCAATAGCCCTTCCTAATAGTTGAATTGGTAACGCGTGATTGCATTTCAGATGTGCTAACATATGTTGTATGATTATTTTGGCTTAATTCAAATCATTACTGTATGTTTAATGTTCTCTTCAAGTCAGGTTGTCCCTGAAGATGCTTCAAAACTTGCTGACTTCCACAAAGTCATCCAGCGTACTTCTGAATTTGAGACAGCCCTGAAGGAAATGAATTTCATTTCGCCATCCGATGAGAAGGAAGAGAGACTTAGCAAATTTGCCGAAAACGTTGAGGTTCATTTTGCATCTAGAAAGAAGACGGAAATTCTAGCAAAAACAAGAAATATGTTATTGAAGTGTGATTTTAGAGTTCCACTGGTGAGCCTTGGATGTTGTTACGCCTAGCACATTTAATCTTTGAGTTAAAGATACTGATTGAGAATTTTTTTTCCCAGGATCATGCTGTGAGAAATGCCAATTTGGAAAATGATGGTGGTGATGTTTTAGATGTAAAGACTTCTGAGCATGTTGCTGAACTAGTTTTCTCATCTGAGAGGTGTTTGGTATCTGAAGCAGCTTCTCAACTAATGCAGTTGGTGCATAAGACACTCAAGGTTACTAATCTTGAGTTATGCAATTGAATCTTTTACACTTTTAAGACATATGTGTTGATAAGGTTCATTTTTCTGTAGGATGTTTGTGTGTCTTCTCCAAGGGTTGCTTCAGAATTCTACCATGCTGCTCGAGATTCCATACTTCTATATGAAGCCATTGTACCTGTTAAGGTTCGTGAAGAAGAAATTCAAATAAAAACTAAGTACTGAATTACTGTGTGTTTTTTTACCATACTTGCGTGTAACCAGAAGCTGGCATTTAGGGCTAGAATTTGGACGCTAATAGCCCATTGCATTTTAGGAGACATTTAGAACTACTAGTGCCTAACCTGATTGTAGGCTTGCCAGATTTTAATAAGCATCTTTTTTTTTTTTAAATATTGGACTGATTGCTGATAGTGATATTTAAAAATTGCATCTCTAGTGAAAGATATTCCACTCTAAATCTAGTACCAAAAATTAACAATCTAATGTGTCCTTTTCCCTATTACTCTCCATACTTAGTACTAGGTTTTGGTAACTTGTAATGCTGGAAATGTCAGATTATTAATTTTTTTTATCTTAATTGTTATTTTATGCTGTGTAATTTAGAATTGATAAAAAAATGTTTCTTTCTTTTCGTATACTTAATCAGGCTTCTAAGATAAATTGAAGTTAGTACATGAAAATCTTCACGATATGCATGGATTCTCATCTCCTTCTTTCCTTGTCTATCGAACTTTGAAGCTAGAGAAACAACTTGATGGGATCAATCAGGCCGCTGTCCTTATGCACAATGATTGTTTATATTTGTTTGAGGAGATACTTGGACTTGCATTTGAGGTAAGGACCACGGTCTGACGAAGCTACATATCATGTTTGTGGGAAAGAACCTGCTGAAAACTTGCCTCTTGGTACTTCAAGACTGTTTTCGTTATTTGCGTGAACTAGTTCTTTTCTTTCTCGAATTTGTTCTTCTTAAATGGCCTCCCTTCACAAATGGGCAAAAGCTTAAATTTCGTTTTTTCTTTTTGTATTGACGTGCTCTAACCCTTTTGTTTCAGTATCGTGCTAGCTTCCCCAGCTCCGTTAAGGAATATGCAGTATTTGCTGATTTAGCCCCAAGGTTTAAATTGATGGCAGAAGAAGTTTTGCAGAGACAAATTCATATAGTGATTTCAAGTTTGCGAGAGGTGAATATCTATGGAAAAATATACCCCGTAGTTTACAAATTATTATTACGATAAATATATCATCTAACATTATGCAAATTATGCTTCTATCAGGCTATAGACAGTGCAGATGGATTTCAGAACACTCACCAAATAAAACAATTTGAATCTGCCAAATTTAGCATCGAGCAAGTAAGTACTTGGTCTTGAATTTGTATGTTAGCTTCTGTTTTCATCTCATTACCACTTCTTTAACATTTTTAGTTACTTGGAAATGCGAATCTCTGGACAGGTTGTATTTATTCTAGAAAAAGTGCATATTATATGGGAGCCACTCCTACTGCCCAGAACTTACAAGCAAAGCATGTGCATGGTTTTAGAGTCGGTCTTTCGTAGAATATCCAGAGACATTATTCTTCTAGATGACATAGCTGCAGATGAGACACTTCAGGTATTCCACTTCTAAGGCTACTGCTTTTGCATGGTACATCTACTAAAACTGGTTTTTGTGTGTTCTCAGCTACAACGACTAGTTCATCTCATGCTGGAGAACCTATCTTCTTTACTCGGTTCCCTTAGTTCTGCTGACGGCTCTTCACGTCCCCTCGATGATCTTATACCATCTTTACGTAAAATCCGTAAACTGGCAGGCATGTCTTTGGCACTTTCTTCAGTTCAGATTGGCCTTAAACTCGGGTTTGGCTCCGTGGACTTATATCCTGAAACTTCTTCTTTCTGTGTCTTTATCTCTTAAATCTTTTCCAGAACTCTTGGATATGCCTTTGAAGTCCATAACTTTGGCTTGGGAAAGTGGGGAGTTATTCAGCTGCAGCTTTACGAGAGCTGAGGTACGGAGGAGACTCGTTTGATTCATTCTGACACATAATTATTTTACCTTTGTTTAGTGGCATTTTTCTTGCTATATTCCGCATAATTATAGTCTTATTATTATGTGTTCACCACAACTTGGTACCGTGCTCGGTCATCGAAGGAATAGAGATTCTTGTCACAGTGCAATCAATCATCAATCTAAGTATCAACTATTCACGGTTAAAAACCTAACTCAGATGGTTGTGAAGCTTTTTAGCCGAAGCTCCAACTCCTTATTCAGAAGTCATGCCATGGTCGTGTTTTTTGTTATGTTTTCAGATTGTGGATAAGAAAATAATTTTGTAATGCCTTCTGCCATCTTGCATTCTGCATACGATTATGCTTGCTTGTAGGTTTTAGACAACTTTAAAAGACTTGTTATAAGGTGAATCTTTGGTATTATTTGCTTAGGGAAGATTCTTAAGCGCTCTTCAAACATCTCGCAGGTGCAAGATTTCATCAAAGCCATATTCACGGATTCGCCACTGAGAAAAGAATGCTTATGGAGGATAGAAAACGTCAACCTGTAGAAGATACCGCTCGCTCACTCCATAAACACACTGGAAACACAACACAGAGTACAGACGAGACGGGAAAAGAACAGAGCAGAAGGGAAACTCTCACGGGCAAAAAGATCGGGAAGAAACACACTCCAAACCCTATTGCCAGAACCAATGGGCTCAAAAGGTTAGCCACCAATTCTTCCCCTTTCTGATAAGAGCTAGCTAAAGAAAAAGATTCATCGAACCTAGAGAGAAACTTGTCTTTGAGTTACCATATTAGAGTCATGTGGAAACCAAGCTTAACTGACAAGGGACGAAACGAGGTTTTGTTGTAAATGGTACTGTTATTACAGGAAAGAGATGGAGAGTTCACATGTGTAAGCATGTTTTGGGTTTTATGTATTGGTTGATTCCAAAACTGTTTTGTTCTTCTTACAGAAATTTTGGTTTGGAACCACTGCCTTAGCTCAATGCAAAGATTCTTCTTAGTTCAAACCGACTCAAGAACCTAAGATTCTCTGCCATGTTTAAATACAATCTGGAACCCTAAACGAAACCGAATCTTTAGGACACGACTAGGAAAAAGTGATAATATACTTCCTGTGTTGGCTGTGTAATGTAATAACATCAAAAGCAACAATCAGATAGAACAAAAAAAAAAAAAAAAGAACTCTGCAGATTGCAGAAGGATCACAACTCATCCTTGGAGGTGAACGAGGGATCTTTGTCATCTGCCATGAGCTCTTCAAGAGAGAATTCATCTTCCTCCACTACCTCTCCGTCCTTACCGTCCCAAGGTTCTGTCTTCACTATCTCCGGTGTTCCATTTAGAGGTAAATTCCCTTTCCCTCCTCTTCCAGCCTCCTTCACGAATTCCCTGAATGAACCAAAAAACCATCATGGCCTGAATCTGAACCACCATTTTTTCACTTCGAGATCGGAATCTTGAAAAAGAATCGATTTTAAGCACTTACATGATGTGTTCAACCTCAAACGCGCTTTTAAGAGGAGTGTAAGCTCCTTTCTTAGCGTTCAATGCCACCATAGCCGGGTACCCATATCCTCCGACACCAACCTTTGTCTCCATATCTGTCTGCTTTCCAGCAGCCACCCACACAAAGCTGTGGAGACAACATCATCAAAATTTTACAAACTTGTCTTAGATGTAAAGCTATAAAAATCTGTGTTCTTATCTATTACCTGTAAGGGCTCCTCTTGAACTTCTCAGCAACAGTTAACAACATGTCAAGGTACTTGTTCCTTCCTTCTGCCTTGGAATCCAGAATATCAGGCAAGAACGAAACAAAGCATATAGCTGCTGAAGTCGACAGTT